CCCCCCCCCCCCCCCCCCCCCCCCACAGAGACGTGTGGGTCATGGGCCTGCCCCCTTCGGTGAGCTACAGTCTGTGTGGGAGAACAGACCCAGCAGGCCACAGACACCACTGCCCAGGGGTGCTGGTGGTGGAAGGGTGGGGGAGGGTGGGGAGCATTCTGGAGGTGGCGGCTTTGGGCTGCCCCCGGAGGGAGGATGTGTTTGCTTTGAATCAGGTGAGGAAAGAGATGCCGCTGGCTAGGGGGCCGCTGTGAGCAGAATGCAGGAGTCCTGTCCCAGGTCAGGTGCTTGGTGACAGAGCGAAGATTCTGAGTGTTTGCGGGCGGCCTGGCCGCGCTGCAATACAGAACGAACGTGTCCTTGAACGAGCCTGCGAGGTTGATTGTGCCTCCATTTCGTAGATAGGGAAACTGAGAGCCTGCCCAGCTAGCAAGTAGGACACTACCAGTGTCCTACCAGAGGCTGACTCCACAGCCCAGGACCTCCCTGTTGAGGTTAGCTCTGGGGCCACCAGAAGGGATGGTGGGGAAAGGGAACAGCCAGGTGAACTTGGAATGTGGTATGAGACCTTTCTCTCCTAAATTGGTTCTCTTCCTGTCAGACAAGCTGTACTTTTTGCCCCATCGAGCAACTTGTTAGGATAATGGGGTGGCCTGTGGGCTGGCCCTGGTCTTAGCCTTGAATTAGGATTGCAGCCAGGTGCTCTGTGAGGGCCCAGGGACGCCACACAGTGAGTGCTTGGGATGGATGATTAACGGGAAGAATGTATCTGGAGATGGAAAGGATGGGAAACTGTCTCTCATAATTCTTTCAGAATAACCATGTGCCCAGTGGGTAGCAGGGAGCCGCTCTCCTCTGAGTGAATTTTCCCACTCAGCACAGGCAGTCCCTCTCTAAGGACTCATTTCTCCAAGGTAGCAGGTGAACACCTCCAAGGCCTGGGGCTGGGGACCCGCCCGGCCACTCTGCTCCCCGTGCCGCTGACTCTGTCACACCTCATGCCACAGTCCAGGAGGCTTGCAAACAGAAAAGTGCGAGGAGCATGGGTCCTGGGGCCCGGTTCACACAGGCCAAGGCAGGATCTCTGGGAGCAGGGCCTAGGAATCTGCATTTTAAGCAGCAGGTTGGGTGATTCTGAGGGACACGGAGGTTTGAGAACCTCTCAAGTGATTGGAGGCAGAAAGAAGAGAGCAGGATTCCAGACTGTGCCAGTGTTGTGAGGCTCAGAACAAGTCACTGGAGTCTCTTCTGAGTCTCAGTTTCCACGTGTGCCGGGGATGGGGGGGGGGGGGGTGTGTGTCACATCAGCCTGACTCAAAAGGGATGTCAGAAGTGTTCAGTGAGTGCAGCCCTGAGGTGCACGGCAGAACCTCTTGCACATAGTAGGTCCAAGAAACGTCAAGGCTTTCCGCTTCCCCTCCCTTCCCAAGACTGGAGAAGGCCCAGAAGCAGCCCAGGGACAGCCAGGGAGGGGGCTGGCAGCGCTGTGCCCACTGCTCCCCGCGCTTCTCAGACGTGCTCAGGCCCTTCCTGCCCCCCCCCCCCCCCCACGCTGAGCTGGGCCCAACCTAACTGTCTGGGTGCGTCCCACAGGAGGCCCTGTGTGGCACCAGCCAAGGGTTGAGGCCACTGGCTGTCAGGAAGGTGATGGGGCTCCCGCCACACGCGGTGGAGGAACAGGGACACCTAGCAGGAGTGAATCCTTTGGCTCTAGAAGCCAAGAGCCACTTCAGGACGCACATTGTGGGGAGTGTTCTGTACAAGCTCCGAGCACATGGCAGCTTCTGGACCAGATCGTTACCGGGTAGGGTTTCCCTTTTAACTCCCCATCTGCCTACCTTACAACCACTCAGATCTTAACATGGACCATCAATGCTTAGAAACCTCTTCCAGGGCTTCAAAAACCTAATTACCAAATGGATTGCAAAATTTTCATAAAATGCATTAAAAAAAAAAAAAAAAAAAAAACAAACAACCCAAACCTCAAAAAATTCTCAGAAAACCGAGCTGGTCTTTCTTCTTTTGGCTGAAGCAACAGAGATGCTTTGACCGTCCTGAGTTATCTGATACCAGCCATCTGGCTCATCTCTAAAGGGGTCTTTCAGATTCACAGAGTACATTTGGAGTTATTTTAATATGAACATGACAAAAGGAATTTCATAGAGGGAGTCCTGGCTTTCGGTAGCAAACACTAGTGTTCAAAGAAGAGGCAGGGGTCCAGTTTTGCAAGCTCTCTGCTGCATATCTAAGCTGAAGGCTTACTCTTTCTACCCAAGTGTGGCATTAGACCCACTTGAGCCATGGAGTAAGCTGGAATTGTGAGGTTAGCCTCCCAGCCTTGACGTGAACAAGGCCGCTGTGTGCCCCCAGCAGGGACATCAGAGGACACTGCCTGCTGACGGTTCTGGAGGGTTCGGCCACAGTTCCTGTCTTCCTGGAGAGACCGGTTCATCTCTGGGTTGGAGATGGCTTTGCGAAAGGCTTCCATTTTCTCAGCCTGGATAACTTAAGCATAACGACTTAATTTCGTATGTCACACTCTAAAAATCTCTGTCCACCCAGAACCCCAAAGCGAATGGAGATTTCCTGGCCACCCCGAAGCTGAGTCCATCCCTCTGATCTGCTCCCATGTACTGAGTCCTGGGCCCTGGAGCAGGTGACAGGGCTCGGGTTGGCCTGTGGCCTCTGACAGGAAACAGCTAAGCCTGTTTAAAAGGCTCTAGTATCCTAAATCACTTCTGCTTAACTTCTGGAACATGGACAGTGTCTGCAGAGGGAGCTGGTCACAGTGGTAACCAGGCTGCAGTGACATTTCTACCCATGACGATTCCCATCTTCCCCTCAAATGCTGCTGTGGTGCAGGGAGACAGTCGAGTACGGGGCGCAGGGTGCGGGGTGCGGTCCGGGCGCAGGGTGCTGACCACTAATCTGCCTTGATCTTAGTGTGACTAAAAACATTGGCTTGATTACTCTCCTGCCTCACTCTGCAGGTGGGGGACTTCTAGAAAATGTCTTAAAAATTTTTTTTTAATGTTTATTTTGAGAGAGAGAGGGAAAGAGAGAGAGAGATTATAAGTGGGGGAGGGGCAGAGAGAGAGAGAGGGGGAGACACAGAATCTGAAGCAGGCTCCAGGCTCTGAGCTGTCAGCACAGAGCCCGATGCGGGGCTTGAACTCACAAACCGCGAAATCAGGCTCGAACTCATGAACCGCGAGATGATGACCTGAGCCGAGGTCCGGATGTCTAACCGACTGAGCCACTCAGGCACCCCTAGCAAAGGGCTTTTGTTAAAATGTCTTGAAATGGCTGTGCTGGTCAGTGTGGAGAAACAGAGCCTGAAGACGGTCACCCAGCCTGACTGCAAACAGGGCCCCGTATCATCTCCCCAGGCACAGCGAGTGGCTTCGTTACAGGCGAGGCTGGGCATATGCCCTCCCGCCTCTTCTGGGGGGAGAGAGACCGTGGGAGGGGTGGCATGGGGGTGATGTCCAGATGAGGAAGCTGGGTCCCAGGGGTGGGCAGCTGGGACCAGGGTCGGTGGTCTGTGACCCAGTGCCCGGGGCTCTAACATCTGGCCAGGGAGGGAGATGCCAGCTAGTGAGAAGATCAGAGTCTTTTCTTGGGGAGGATTGTCCATTTAGAGGATGGTTTTATACGCCAGGAGTTTGTTTATATACTCACTGGGCAACAACTCGGGGTTCAGCAGATTTGTGTTTTCTGGTCCCTGCCACCTTTGCCATGCACGACCTGTAGGGCTCCATCCTCAGTGCTCAGGGGGCTCCCTTTCGTCCCTGCAGTTGAGGCGCTTGTGCGCAGGACGCATCCTGAGACTGACTTATCGGTGATTAATCAGTTGGCCCTGTGACTTTGGAGTATTCTTGGCAGTGAATTGACTTTCTACTCTGATTCGAACTTGTGCACGGATCTAGCAGCCATATGTGGTTATATTCAGAATCATGGACATTATCTCGTTCCACCAAAGGACCCAAGCAAGAGGGCTGAACCCAGATGAGGGGCAGGGTGAGGCCCCTTTGTTGACCTGAGGCAAGGGCAGGATGGCCTCAGAAATGTCAGCATGGCCCAGGGCTGCCAGGCTGGGGTCCAGCTGAGGAGGGGGTGCCCGCGGCTTGCCCAGGATGGGACCCGGAGGGTGTGTGTGGGATGGCGGGGGTCCTTGCCCAGTCCTGGGGGCTTCGCCCGGCTCACGTGGGTGTCTTCCTGGAGTTAGCTACCTGCAGGACAGATGGTGCCTGGATAGAACAGCAAATACACTGAATAAAATAAATTAAAAAAGCCTCCTCCTGAACCAAGATTTTTTTGGAAAGAATTCTAAATAGATGAAAACAAACAATTTGATTTCAACCAAATTGTTGTTTTTTTGTTTTTATCCTGATTTTCACCCGAATTGTCAGTCTCAAAAATAAACACTGATACATTCCCAGAAAATATTTTTCAAATAAAAACTGACTCTGTTAAAGTTTGCCCTGATTCTTTCAAAACTGTGTACAAGACACTGTCAACCAAAGTGACTTGCATATTTTTTTAAATACACTTGAACATATGCAGCTAAAATGTCATTAACTCCCTGCTGCCTGAGTGTTTTTCAAGAGTGACACGAGACCCCGGTGTCTGTTTCTGACATACGGGTCTTGCGACCCTCGGGGAAACTTCCCCAAGCAACTCAAATCACCGAGTTTAACTTCCGTTTTGTTTTTTTGTTTTTTATTCTTGCTTTTCACTGAAGGCCCACGTGTGATTAATGTTGAAAAGCACATAAGGCTTCACTGAAGACAGACCTGCTATTCCGTTAACAGCTCACTTTGTCCATGAGTGAATGTCGGAGTAGGACGCATGGAAGAAAAATAAATCGAATTTTCTGCTGCTGCAGACATGCTTGCTCCACTTATTGCTTCCTGAGTCAGTACATTTTGCGATAGAAATTCACAATCAAGATTTTAAAGGGAGCTAAATATTTTAATCCAATCAGACAAGTGAACAAAACACTGAATATTACATGGAGCAGAGAGAAGTGGTTCTTGCCTTTAAAAGACTGCAGTTCCGTCACATTACAACCCCAAATGTCAGTGTTGTCTTTATTTCTAACGCTTTCAAACACGAGGCAGCCAGAGGCTCCACTCTCTGCTGTTGGTGACACTGTCTGTCCTTTGGGAATTCTTAAAGTCTATTTACCATGGAAACATGGTTCCTATAAAACACAGACACCTGCCCATGTGCAAAGAAAGTTCTCATGACTTGCGGGATTCCAGGAAGCTGGAAGATGACAAAGTCGGACGGCACGAGGCATGGGACTCCTGTGTCGTCGGAGCTCTGGAGAGGGGAGGGGCGTCCTGGCAGCCTGACCCCTGCGGCCAACGCACCGGGCTCCCCGGTTCCCCACCCCGCCATGCCACGCGTCCCAGGCCCAGCTTGAGATGCTGTTTTCCGGAAAGCCAAGGATTCCTCCTCGGCCCACCTCCATTCTGCAAGGAAGGTCTTCCTGCCTCTACCTTTTCCTTTCTCTGGCTTCTACAGCCCCTTCCCTCTGCGGGGCCCAGAGGCAGAGAGCCAGGCCGGTGGTCTAGGGAAGCCGTGACTCTGACCTCTGCCTGCACAGGCCCGTCATTGTCAGGGGCTCGGCGGACTGCCCGGTGTGCGGGCGACCCGGCTTTGCAGCTGCCGACCACCGGGTTCTGGGGTGCCGGAGCCGGGGGACGAGGCAGGGTTGGGGTCACTTTGCTGGACTCTGCTGAGCTGGAGGCAGTCCATCGAGGGCCCCGTGGGTTGGGGGAAGGCTCGCCTCTGTGGCCCTCCCGGCCACGTTCCACGACGTTCTGCGGAGGACTGGTGAGGGCACCCTCCTCCTGAGCAGATCGGTGGCCTCCCACAGCTCACGTGGCTTGTGAGTGCCAGCTGGCCTCCCAGGTCTGACTTCTACTTGATCCCACACACAGCACACCTGGTGGCTTCTGTGCTGCTTCGCTGGGCAGGTCACAAGAGCATTAACAGGCCTGGACTTCGAGGTCCAGCTGCCGAGGTTCAAATCTCAGCTCTGTACCACTTGGGGTAAAATGTTTAGCTTTCATATCACTCGGGTCCTGCTCAAAAGCAAAACCAAAACCAAAAGACAAACAGAAAACCTTAATAACAGAACCAGCTTCCCTTGAAGAGGCAGCCCCCCCCCCCCCATCACCCGGCTCCCACACAGGTGACCGTGAAGCCGGCCGGGTTGGCAGAGATCACGGTTGGCAAGACAGGGCCACTGGATCAATCATTCGGCATCCTTTCTGTCCGGACAGAAAAATCAGGCCCAGAGAGATGAAGTGCACGGAACTGGGAAGTGAACGGCAGGGAAAAAACTTCTGGAGAAAGTGGTATTCAGGCCCTGGGCCGCAGGTTGCACGGAGGGGGTGGGTGTCCATCCGACTCTCCCGGGGCAGAGCCTGCAGTCGGGCCCTGGCTCTCCAGCAGTAGGTACTGGTGGCTTCTCTGGACCTCAGGACAAGGCTCTAAAATGCCCCCAGCTAGAGGCGGGGAAGGGACTCTCCTCTCTCTGGCTAAAAATAGATGCTTTCTTGCCAGAGGCACAAGAAACAGGACTTTTTTTTTTTTTTTTTTTTTAATGTGTATTTTTGAGAGAGAGCAGGGGCGGGGAAAGAGAGGGACAGAGGGTCTGAAGTTGGCTCTGTGCTGACAGGCAGTCCGATGCGGGGCTCGAACTCACGAACCATCAGATCACCACCTGAACCCAAGTCGGACACTTACCCGACTGAGCCACCCAGGCTCCCCGGTTTTTTGACCTGGCCACACTGACACAGAAAATGTGAAAATGAGTGAGGCTAGTGGCGGGGGGGGGCACTAGTGAGAGGTGGAGTCCGCAGAGAAGGGATGCAGAGGGAAAGTTGGGTCGGGCTGAGGCTGAGCAGGCACGTTCTGTGAGCAGGGATGAGGTGGGCTGTGTGCTTCCCGGGTCACAGGCTTGGGAACAAGGCGGCAGAAAAGGCTCTGCTCAACCCCACGGCGTGGTTGCCTGGGGAACAATTCAAGTCACCCAGAGAGAGACTCATTTTTTAAAGTCAAAACTTCAGAAATAAACACAAAGGTCGGGGTTTATGGAGAGAAGGCTCTTCTCGTAGGATTTAAAATGAGAACAAAGGAAATGGGCTGGCAGTAGCAGGCATGTAGACGGGGGAGGGGGGAGCGTTTATGTCATCTGTGGAGAGTGTTCTAGAAGAGCAGGTGCCAGGGTACCCTGTGGGCCTTCCTCTGTCTTGGAGGGCAGCCGTGGACACGGCTGATGTGACCACACCGCCCAGGCATGCCACGGCAAGGGGCCTTGGTGACAAGTTGAGAGGCAGAGGTCTGGGAGAAGGTGGCTGAGGGCTCAAGCCACAGTTGGAGCCAGCTAATGTCCCACGGGCATGTGTATCCTCATTGTCCCTTACAGCCAGACCCGGATCGTGGTGGTGAGGACCACGGACCCAGCTTTCTGGAAGTCAGCAAGGCTAATCTCCCTAGGAGGTGATGGCAGACGAGCAGGATTTGGGCAGTAACTAATGCTTCTCGATCTCTGGACATGCCGCGGGATGGGGCAGGTACCGAGAACTGTTCTTCACTGAAGATCCAGCAAACTGAGGGTGACACTTGAGTGGGGAATTAGAGACTGAATGGTGATGTCATCGGCTGAATTAGTCATTCTGATATCTACTGAATGCTTGCCATGGGCAGGGCAGCCGTGGGCACTGGGGATGGAGAGTGACCATAATGGGAAAGCACCGTAATGGGAAAGTCAGGACAGGCTTTGCATCAGGACCAAATAAAATACCAAACCAGCGGAGAAATAGTGACAGGCGATTTGCTCCAGGGAGAGAGACCGTTCACGTCGGGGACCTCACATCTGCTCCGACAGGGCCCCACGGGGCCATGGTGGCCGGTTCCCAGGCAGAGGCCCGAGTGCCAAGAGGGGATGAGTCGGGCAGGAAGTTACTAGATGGGCCTGGGGCACAGGCACTAGGAAGACTCATAACGAGAGGTGCCAGTTTCCTGGAGCTTGGTTTAAAAAAATTCCCGGGACACCTTTCCTTTCTACTTCAGGTCTTAACTGCTACTCTACTGTGCGTGTCGCGGGCGTGTGTCTTCTACCCCAAGTTCCGCTCCATTTGCGATATGCCTGTCGTGGTTTCTGCTTATCCTTGCACTCAGAGACGTTCCTGGAGTCTCTGAAGTTAGGAAGCGCCCGGCCCGCAGCCCGCAGTCCCTGGGTGGTGCCACACCAGGTCAGCTCCGTCCAGACTGGACAACATCAGGTCTGGATGGAGACCCCGCGTGATGGTCCACTGAGTTGGTGGCAGCCCCCGGGCTGAGTATGTCGCTGGGGGTGGAAAGGAGCCCTTTCTGCAAGGGCTCTGGGGCAGTGGACTCCTGCTGGCCTGCTCTGGAGAGCCCAGAAGCCCCCCGGGGCCCTAAGGAAGAGGGCCCCTTAGCCCCAACCCCCCACCGAGGGCTGCACACACATACCCAGTGCTTCCTCACCATGCCGCGGCCCCTGCCCTGTGTACAGAGCCAGGTGGGCCGCACGTGTGACATTCTAATTCCCCGTCTCCTCACAGACTTGCTCCCTAGAAAGGCATCATCAGTGTCACACATGTTGAGAAACCTACCTGACACGTACACATTACCTTTTTGCATTTTTTGAAAGAGGCGACAGGCGGATTTTCCTATTTCTCATGCGTGAATTGTGGTCTTTCACTCACTGTCCTGTCTCGGAAACCCTCGAGTAATTGTGACCGAAACTGGGTTCCCAGGAGCCCCCCCCCCCCCCCCCCGCCCTGATTCTAGCTCAGGAAATCTGAGAGTGCAGAGGGCGTGCAGAGCCTGAGGCCCACGGGTCTGTCTTTCTGGAAGATGGTTTCCAGCCACAACAGACCAGACTGCCTGCCCTCCTAGGGACCTCACTCCTCGAGGTCAAGGACTGCCTAACTCATCTCCCCACGTGGTGCAGGGTGGGTGTGCCCTGTTCTGTGGAGCGGAACCATCTGCAGTGGTTTCTGGCACCACTTCCAGACATGGTTTAAGCTAACCTGAGCGGCCCCGTCGCCGGCCAGGGCAGACGAGAGGCTTCTCCGCGTCCCTAACTTGTGCCTCTCTCAACCCTATTTTCAGGAGCTAGCTTTGAAACATTTATTCCTGCTCGAAACTAAGGCCAGATACACCGAATTCCCTCTTCCAGTGCGTGGGAGGTGGTTTCCACGGGGGAAAAAGCGGGTGTGTGCATGATAATAAATTGTCTGCAGCTGGAAATGTGGAGGTTTTAGCTCGTTTTGATTTCACTAGGAATTTCTTAGGGACACTCGGCCTACATCCTGTTTTTTGTTCTGCTTTACCAGCTGTAATGTCTGAGCAGTTCTCAGTAAACACATTCTGGCATGAATCAGGGTCTCCTTTCCTGGGCAGAGAAGTGGTGGCCCTCCAGCCACGTCCCACCATCGGACTGCCTTACTCCCAAGACAGACCGATGCCTGCAGTACAGATGTGTTCAGATTTAAGGCCGTAAAACGAAATGGGTTCCCTTCAGTTCCTGTCTGACAGGGGCTGTGATCCAAGGTCGGGGGGAGTAACAAGATTTTCGTGCAGTTGGTCACGTACAATTTCTCTATTTTTAGCAAAAGAATGTCTTCCTCTTTAGAAGAGGCACCTGCACCAGCGAGAAGACAAATCACAGTGAAGAGCGTGATCTATTTAAACTTACTTTTTATTGTCATTTTTTTTTCCAGTTACCCAGCATGCCACAATCTGATTGCTGACCTGGATGAAACAGAGTGAAATAAATGGTTTACAAAGAGATATTTACATTCATCTGATTTGTTCGTGAGATGCCACAGAGCACCACGACCTTCCCGGTGGCCGGCGCCCCGGACGGCAGCAGGCGGCCAGGTCAGCCGCGTCTACTGCCCAGCGGTGCCCGTGCGGCCAGGCCCCGCGCCGGACCAGGAGACCTCCTGCAGTTATGTTTGCAGAAATGGCTTGAAGTTAACTGTGTTCTGATAAATCTGCTCATTTGTATCCTGTTACACATGAGAATTTCAATAAATGAACTTTTTTAAAGACCTGAATTGAAGCGTTTCCTTTTTACCTTGTAGTGATGAACGAAACACACCAAAAAGGCACATATTTTAACTAGGCCAAAGGGCATCAAGGACCAGACTTTCTTCCTGCCACTCGTGTCTCTCTCCCTCTTCATGAGCTAGACACCGTCCTTCCACTTCTTAACGCTCTGAATCAACATCTCGTAAGGCTCCATCGTTTACCATCCTGCTAATCTGTGCGCAGTCAGGAGACGCCAGGAAGCGCTGTTCTCCTGTCCGCTCCGTCAACAACAAAAACAGACAAGGACGCGTCTTCGGCCCGGCGGTTTGGGTTTCTTCTTCAGTGTGCGGTTTGAGAGGAGCCTGACAATGTACTTCCTGAAGTGACACAATTGACTTGGAGTTCTATCAGATGTCTGTAAACAGATCATTGTTTTAGCTTCAAACAGTATTTCTACGATACACAGGTGAGCCCTCAAATGCTGGAAAGTAATAAAAATGGGCGCCGAAGATGCTGGGTTGTCTCTGAGGAGGACAAGGCTACACCACAGGCTGCAGGCAGGACAGGGCCCTGACCTCAGGCCGCTCTCCCGGCTGGCAACCCAGCACCCTCGCCCTCGGCCTCAGCGTCCCCCACCCGTGCCTCTCAGGACGGATGGGGGGGGGGGGGTTCAGCGTTGGAGGTGGGGAAATGCTACACACGCCAAGACCGTTCAGAAGTCTCTGGAGCACGGACGAGTTCAAGCCTGAAAACTCGGATCCAGTTTTCGATCTCCTCAAATGTGCTAGACGTAAAGGGTGGCGCAGAAGGTATGTTAATTGTCCCTAATTCTGTGTTAGGACTACAGTAAATAAATGACACAATTCTAAAAATAGCACCTTTAAAGAATTGTAAGAGGTCGCTTTATTTTAGCCTCCTGGATGTGTGAATCCCAGTGGTTTTGAGAAGAGCACGTGGAAGCCTGCCCTCAGGTTTGGCTGTGGGACACACGCACGCACGCCTGACTCACTTTGGTCCCAAAGCCGTTCCTCTACTGAGCTTAGTCCCAGAAGCCAAGCCAGGTTTCTACGATAGCAGGCGTATGAGGTAAAATCGGAAAAAGGCCCCATCCAAAATGCTTCCAGGTAATCAGACTGTGGTACAACCGCCCTACCCGTCTAGCAGCCACGACAGAGGTGGTTAACCTGCCGACACACGCTCCCAGAAGGGAAGTGTGCGGAGCAACGCGTTCCGCATTCTCAGGAAGACGTCACCGACGAGCGACGCTCCTCAAGAGAGTTCCGGGTCCAGACCATCTGCTGTGAAGACTGTTAGGTCCTGACTGAACACATTTCCAAGGAGACCCGGTCCGTCCCTGACTTCATGGGAGACCTGCCCCGAACCCACTGCGGCGCGGTCGGCGTCTCCCCTTCGGAGGCGGCCCTTCGTCCGAGTCTGCACGACCACGCTACTGCCACGTCACTGAAGTAACAACATAATCCTGTGTGTGCGTTCGGGGCTACAAGAAACTGCTGTATTTTCCTGTCACATTTTATGTAGGGTAGGTTAATACCAGCTGGAGCTATTAAAAATCTCTTTGTTTTCCAGAAAAGATTTTCTGAGATTACAGAGCCACGTCCAACAACAATAAACGGAGAAGTAGCAGATTGACATAGTGCTTTATTTAAGCTGTCTGTACGAAGGAAAATAATGTGCATCCCTATCATATACGTGTAAAAATACTAAGGATGTACAGTGTACAAAAACAGTTTCTTGTAGTTATTTCACATCCTTGTGGGTCATATACTTAAGGAAATGAACAGTTTTAGTTTTAGTATGACCAACAGTAAGAGTAATACAGTTTCTTGGGTTCATAGTTGCGTCTGCTTAAAATCCTTAACCAGATGACTAGATCTTGCGCGGATCTAATGAAAGAACTAGCAAGGTCAAGAAATGTCACAAACTATAAAGCTACAGGGAGGTAATTCAATTACCAATTTAGAGGTTTTCTTTTTATTTAAATAAATACTTTACATTTCATGCTTGCCTGTAATGCACTACCAGGAGCAAGATAAGGAAATTCTACTGTAGACAGTACAAACAGTAGCAGCAAAGTGTGTACGTTGAGGTGTAATACAGAGACCCTGCAGTTAGTAAGGGAGGCCCTTACCTTTGTACTCTAGGAGAAGCAAGGGGCCCCTGCAAGAACAGTCAGCTTTAAGAAGCCGGAAATCAGGTACGGGAAAATGGAAAATACTGGAATAATGCTATGTAATTAGTGTAGAAAGCAAAGCTGTGAGCAACCTGCCAGAAATCCAAGCAGAAATGGCCAACTTCCTCCCAGGTGGCTGCACTGAGACAAGAGGGCAGACTTCACGAGAGTTAGTACGGGGTGGAGTCCACAAAGTCTGAACCGAACTCTGACAGAACGATCCTGGGTTTCAGGCCTTGCCATCTGCCGGCGGCCCATGCCACAGCCACGGGCAGCCTCGAGGGCAGGTGCAGAAATCTCCAGAAATCTCCCTCTACACACACGTGTTACCTGTCGGTCCTCGGCGCCAGCTGATTGAGACCTGGGGGTGAGAGCGGGGGAGGGGGAAGTCTGGAAACACCTCGGTGCCTCTGACGGATCTCGAGGCCGAGAGTGACTGGGCCTGGAGAGCTGGCTGGGAGGCTTGGCCAGCCCGGGGCACCGTCCACGCGGTCCTTAACCTTTAGGAAGTGTCCTTGGCCAGGGTCATGGAAATCACCTTAAGGTTTGGGGGGGGGGGGGGAAGCTATCGAAGTGCTTAGTGTACGGGCCCCCCTTTTCCTCGAAAGGGACGGACGCTCCGCACAAACCTCAGCCAGCCTCAGCCGCCTTCTCTGCCTCTCCCTGTTCCTCTTGTATATAATGGATGCGAGACAACTTACAGGACATACCTCCTAGTCTACTTTCTAGTCAAAGTGAAACATTCAACATAATTCCAAGGGAAGAAAAAACAAAAAAGTGAAGCTACATGTGTCAGAAGGAATGAACTACCATTTCCTGTAACTTCCTACTCGATGCTGAGGATGAACTTCACTCAGGTAGAAATATGAAAAATTAGGATAAAACCTATGTCTGAATATGTCTTAGCTGCCTTAGTAAAATGCCCTTTAACCCCCTCAGCCCCAGTGGCCCGCCCACCGCCAGCAGTGGCGTCTCCTGTACAGACCACACTTCCAGCGTCACGAGGCTAAGACATCTGCGTATGAATATGATTCATCCTACTCAGAAAGTCACTCGCTCTTGCGCACAACGCATCTCGACAGTGACAGCACGTCATGCCGCGGTCTTCCACGGGGAGCCGTCAGATCACGTGACCGATCCATCCCCACGAACGCTCCGTGGGGCCGGCTGCCAGCTTCCGCGACAGGGCCCCCGGCCCCTGGACTTCATAGGCTGCTTTGGAAAATGTCAGCTCCTAGCACCAAAGGGTTTAATCTGAAGATCATCATTAATGAAGGAGAAAGATGAGGTTTGCATACATGTCCCCTCTCAGTGAGAAATGTTGGAATTGGGGGACATGGGTATATACAGAAAAAGAAAAGTTGGAGGTGTTCTTTTTTTGTGTTGTTTTGTGTTTTCCCTGATGGCTTAATTCAGTGATAAATGTACCATGAGCGGAATAAACACACCAGGTTCTCACCCCTTACTGCCTACTTTGTAAATACTCGAGATGCGTTCCTTTTGCCAAGTCAAGTTGGTTTCTCACGGTCACGCGGGTCTCGGTTTCCTCCCCCGCGTTACGTCGCCAGGCGTCAGAGCCTTTCCATCCTCGAATGAGCAACACCGACATCCTTCTGTCTCATTAACCCCTCGGCTTGGAGAGTTGGGGATTTTTCTCACTTTCAGCACCAAGGGGTTAAATGACAGCATCTCTTCTCCCAAAGCCAAATTCTAACCAAGATGTACAATTTCAGAGCCTCGTCCGATTTTGTCACATAGGAGAAAAAGTGCATGCCTCTCATTGGCGTGTACATCCTTGCACACGGGTCCAAATAAACTGCAGTGAGTCTATTTCATGTAAGTTGGCGCTGCATTTGCTAACATGACACACAGTTTTCTTCACTAAGAAATAAATACTACTGCAATATAAACAAAATCATAAAAGGACATTCAAAGATTTAACATCCGAGAAAAAGCGAATTCACGTAGAACTCAAAGTAAAAACTTAAAACAAATAAGGCAAACACCTGTTTACCTCGGTGTACAAATTTTGGTGAAAAGCAGGGTCATTATACCTGTCTACATTCTTCAGCCATCAGAGGTGATAAATATCAAGAAGGGAAAAAGGTTTCCAAGCACAGGGAAAAAAGAAAAATGCTCTCTGGTGCAAATGGTTTCATAGCCCCTTTAAGTGACCTGCCTCTGCTGTGCATATGCCTCCTTCCCCGGAAGGACAGTGTCCGTCTGCCGCCAGCCGCCAGTGAGGTCTGGACGTCCGGGTGGGGCGGCAGGCTTCCTCGGCAGCGTCCGACAGGGATTAAGTGTGTGTCTATCGAGCTAGCTCAACGGTTGGTCAGGCCTTCTCTCGGATGCTTCCCTACGGACTCCAGCCAGGTCTGCGTGCGAGTTCCCCACTCTGTGCACTGATCTGACAGGCTCTCCTACAACCCGCATATGCACATCACCACCCTGCCGCAATCGCTTACTCTGAATTATACGCTAAATCTTCTTAGTCTAATTAGTTTTTGATTTATCTTCTAGAAAGTTAAAAAATGTACCTAGACTCAGTGTATCTCATTTAGCCTTCACTGTTAGGGAAAAACAAAAACCAAAAGATCGAAAGATGACAACTGTGCACAAGTGAACAATGGCGGGCTCGTGACTTCCAAAGACTGTAAAATTACCTCTTAAAGTTGCTTATAGGACAGTAAGACAGTAGCAGCAGCAGCATGAGACCGTAGACGGAGATACAATTTCATGCAAAAACAAACAGGTGTGTTTGCGTACAGGTGTGTTCTCGTGGGGGTGTGCGTGGGCTGGGGTGTCTGGAGGCGCTCCTGCTTTGTAAGAGCTACG